TAGACTTCGCGACCTACCAAGCTTATTTTGGCAAGTTTTGACTTTTAAAAAGAGCAATCGGCTCGAATTTTCTTGGTAGGGCCGAATGACTCGACTCTTTCAACGATTAGTGCGAGTTACTGCCTGTCGAAAAAATTTACCGTTACCCACAATTTATCGCGAGCGAAGTTCAAAGAAACACTTGACTTATGTAGTGTACCCTAAAGAAAGAGCTGTTTCTAGGCTTGGTCAATGCAACTGGGTACAAATGACAATTTTGGCATGAATGAAGGATTTTGTGCAGCAAAATTAAAAAGGAATTAAGGCTTTTTTTGTTGTTCTCGCCTTAAGCGTAAAAGTGTGCAACTCCGATTTCGCCCTCATTAAAGTKACTATATTCTTTGCAAACAAGGCCAAGGATGCTTAGTTTAGGAGTTAGCAGTCGTAGAATTTAGTAGAAAACACAATCAAACCATCGTTAGTATCATGCCTATTAAACTGACGAAATGCTATTTTTTTTAAAGAGTGACCTATGTAAGTCGTACAAATATGTACGATTGCCGGAAAAAGGGTTAATCTATCTATTTTCTACTGAAGTATTAGTATTAACACTAAAGTGTATTTTAAGGAGTTGAAACTGGATAAAACTGGCTTGGATCTAGGGTATCGATTTTTCTTATCTTGACGAGAACGCTTTTTTCCTAACACGAATGGCCTTTGTCTACTCTGCGAAAACGTTTTAAGACAATTGGGAAGATGACATCATATTGACAATAGCAATAAGTCATTACAGACTTTCATCAACTTTTTTTACCTCATAGGGTCTGTGTTCTTTCTCGGTGACCTATCAGAGATAAGTAAAATGAGTTCGCCGTATGGATGCAGTGTACACTTTAACGCAGAAACTTAKATAAAAGTAACATAAACAATTTTACCCGGCGCCAAAGTTACCCAAAGTTTGCAGAAAAAGCACGCTATTATTCACACTAATGGAATGGGCAAAGTCACCGAAAGCGAGGTCGGAAATTTTTCCGAATTTTTCCTTATATAGCGTCTTTCTCCCGGAATTGCCTCCTTCTAAGCAAGGGCGCTAGAACTGAAATTATGACCTATAAGATCGACAAATTGCTGAATTTATCCAACTTAGACAGTCGATAATGAATAAACTTTTACTTATCTGAAATATATACTGAATATGCCGTCATAGACACTAAAAAGCACTTGATTTTACGAAATTCATCCAATAATGATCGTTACAGAAATTCTCAAACGGCTGTTGCTGAATTTAATACCGCTGTCCTTGTTGCACCAGCCACTGCTGTCTCGCCACGGGATTAAAATCACTTTGCCCTGGCCAAAAGAGACAGGGGCAGGCAATAACTGGCGGTCCCCTTGACCACTCATCTTCCACACTAATTGGATTAAAGTCCACCTCACCCAATTTTTTTTACAGTTGGAAAAAAAAGTTTAGGAGTTATAAACCACAAATTCACATAAAAAAAATTCGAATTTCCAAATTTTATATTTTTTATGCTCGTTTAATTCGGCCAAATGATTTTTGGCCGAGTGCGAGGGAGCCTGGGTTGATGACGTAGATGGAGTAACTCGTCCTTCGGTAAATACAAAGTTTACTGTACAAGTTCCACATATTTCATTACAAATCTATGTTTTCTAAGACTGAACGTGGGATAATCCTGCCTGAAACGGCAAATCTAATGCTACTAGAGATTATTCTGACGATTTGAACGTTATTTCATGTCTTGGCTATAAAAATGGAGCCAAAGTGTTGAGAGATTATTCTGGACAAACAAGTGTTGCGTATAGATCTAGATAAATATCGAGGAACAGGAAAAGTTATTTACGGCCCCAGGTAAGTAACTTCTTTCAATATATGTAGGTAGTATTTACAGCTGTTCAAATTCCAGGTTCTCTTGTTTCAGATTTGATTTTTACTGTCATTTCACTGTAGGTATCTATCGTTGTCTCTCGAACGACTTACTCCCTCTACGTCATCACGAAGACATTGATCAGGCACACAGGAATCCCGAAATTGGCTTTGTCCGCGGTTGTTTTCGCTTCAAAATGTAGTTTAAATAAACGAAATCAAATTTGTTTGTACAAATTGTTGTTACTATGACAAAAGTCTTTTCTTTACAAATATAAAAAAAATTGGGTGAGGTGGACTTTAA